TTGATGTCATGCACCCAGTTCTCATAATAAACATTCGAGTTGATGTCATGCACCCAGTTCTCATGACACTTTACCTGTCCATACACAGAGAGTACACGTGGCCAAGTGTGTGCACGACATCTTCATCACGGACATGGCCTTCACACAGAACAGTGCGGGGGTGCTGACGACGAGTGTGGACAAGCGATGTGTCTACACAGACGTACTACACACCGAAGGTACTGTAGTCATTGTATTATAAACGTATGCTCATGTGTAATACTGTGTGGGTGGTAGTGTGGGCAAGTGATTTGTGTACACAGACGTACTACACACCGAAGGTACTGTAGTCATTGTATTACGAACGTATGCTCTTGTGTAATACTGTGTGGGTGGTAGTGTGTACACAGACGTGGTGTACACCGAAGGTACTATATTCATCATATTGGGAACGTATGCTCATGTGTTATACTGTGTGGATGGTAGTGTGGGCAAGCGATGTGTGTACACAGACGTAGTTTACACCGAAGGTACTATATTCATCATATTGGGAACATATGCTCATGTGTTATACTGTGTGGGTGGTAATGTGGGCAAGCGATGTGTGTACACAGACGTAGTATACACCGAAGGTACTATATTCATTATATTAAGAACGTATGCTCATGTGTTTTACTGTGTGGGTGGTACTGTGAGCAAGCGATGTGTCTGCTTGCTCTCTTCGGTGTTTTGTGCATGAGCGAAATAAGATAGAAAGCCCGCCCTTATCTATTCTGTCTACGGAGATAGGTTTTGCACAGCCACACAGTTGATGCGTCTACTTAGATATTCTACCATATCAAGCTTGCAAGCAATTGTCAGACGAGTGCTAGTTTGACAGGACAGTCACTTACTGAGCGTACGACTGAATATATTTCGCTGTTGTTGTTTGCATAAATAGGTGATCCCATGAAATGGCTCACCGTAGCGGCGGTCATTATCCTCGTCATTTCATATCTGTATATGAAGCCTGAGGTGGTGAGGGAATTCGGACAATTCCTCAACACGCACTTCATCAAATTCAAGCCCAGAAAAGGGTACCAAGAACCGATTATGTAGGAAGCTCTGCCCCGGCTGGTAATGTTAGAGCCCAGGGATGGTTGAGTAGCTGTCTTAGATAGCTACTTCAGAAGCAAATAAAACGATACCATATCTTGTAGGAGTGAATCCAAGGCTGGTGATGTTAAACTAGAGATGGTGAACAGCTGCCTATAGATAACTACTTCAGAAGCAAATAAAACGATACCATATCTTATAGGAGTGAACCCATGGCTGGTGATGTTAAACTCTAGAGGTGGTTGAGTAGCTGCCTTATATAATTACTTCAGAAGTAAATAAAACAACACCATATCATATAGGAGTGAACCCATGGCTGGTGATGTTAAACTCGAGAGATGGTTGAGTAGCTACCTATAGATAACTACTTCAGAAGCAAATAGAACAATACCATATCTGATAGGATGGATGAGCAGATGATGGCTGTAGTTAACTGGTTCAGTAGCAAATAAAGCAATGCAATGTCATGTGACAAGGGGAACCATGACTGAGTTCTCAGTTTAGTTACAGTGATGGATGAGCAGATGATGGCTTTAGTTAACTGCTTCAGTAGCAATTGAAGCAATGCCATGACATATAGCAAACGGAACCATGATTGGCTGTGTCAGAGTGCCGAAGCAGTTGCTCAGATTCACCAAATAAGTGCTACAAAAGAAGATACAGCTATAGTGCAGCAGTCACGTTCCTCAACGTTTTGGTGGGTCATCTGGTTTGAACTGTTGTGCACATAACGTTTTGACAAATGTTCCAAACCTAAATGCCCCGTTCGGGAGTCACGGAACCCCCATTTCTATTCGTTGTTATCTTTGATCATGAGAACTCAGGTTAGCCTCCCACCGTATAATAATCGTTAGTTGTATGAAAACGGATCGATATCTGTGCTGAACTGCACGCTTCCGGTCTTATGTTTGAATCTAGACCATATCTACCTTGACGTTCGTGATTTCTAATATATCTGTTGGTTTAAGGTAGCTATACAGTCACAGACTCTGACACAGCCCATACCCTCTGAAGTGCATGAGATCTCATATACTGGCCTCCCTTAGATGGCAATTCAGGCGCACCTAACACCTACCCTGAAGTGCAGGATGTCGAACAATTGTACGATCAATAGGTATATAGGTATATATATATGTGTGTGTGTGTGTGTGTGTGTATATATATAAATGTGTGTGTGTATATATAAATGTGTGTGTGTGCGTGTGTGTGTGTTGT